GATAAAAAAATTAAGATGTTCTTAAGGAATGTTTTCCGAATTTTTCAACAATTGCACTAAGGAACATTCTTATGAACTTTCATAACTTTTTCCTTAAGATTTATGTGAATGCGGGCCCTTCTGCATATTTTTTTCTCGAGCATGCTTTCAACACTAGCTATAGCTTCAGCCCTGCTCTACTTATAAAACATACTCCTCATGAGACACTTGATTCCCATGGTCCTGAGAGGCGTTCTCATTATGTCAGTATTGTGACATGTCTTAAAACAGCCTCACAGTGCGGCAGACATTTCAGAAGCGCTGCGACGAGCTCAAATGAACGATAGGTGTTAATTTTTACATTGTTTGGGATTTCATAACTTGTCATGACTCACATACAGAGGAGGGTGTTGTTCAATGAGAGCCCAACTGATAGTCTGCCACACTGCTCATGGTCTCCTCTGTATCACACACTCACTGTACGGATGCACTCTACCCGCACACGCTCCGTTCACTAGCGTTCTTCTGCATGCAAAAGAGCTCCCCAGTCTCCCAACCTCTGTTCCCATGCCATTCACAAACAAAGCTCCTCTCACAAAGCAGGCCAACAATCACAGCTCTCATGACGCAGATCATGGGAAAGGGCCCCTCGGGCCAGAAACATCTTCAATGATTTTGAACCCCTGATGGGTGAAAGCCACTCTTCAAATGTCCATCACTCTTGCTAAAGCGAGGACACTGAGCCACAGCGGAAAGTGTCCCTTTCGTCCACTGAGTCACCGTGTTCCCACAGTGCTCTTTGGGTGGAGAGTTTCACTTCTATTCCTGTCATGTGAGGACAAGAGTGAGGAAATACAATACAAATCATTTGCTCTGTGTTTACGAGGATCCGAGTGTGTGTATGTGTGTGTGTTTGTTTGTGGGATGTAACAATGAATGGCCCCAGTGCCCTGAAATAGCCATCAGCACGAGGCAGTGTGTGGCAAGATCGCTGTGGGAAGGGTGGAGTGACTTGTGTACGAGCCATAAAGAGAAAGAAATAGGAGAGTTCAAGGGTGTGGGAAGCAGGTAAAATGACAAAATGTCCCTCTGTGACCCTGAAATAAAGAGAGGAAAAGGGAACAGCCGATTTGAGATAAGAGATGTGGAGATGCTGTATACCAGACGAATACTCACTCATTATTTCAGATATTCCTGAAATATACAAACATGGAAAGGAAACAAAAAATCATGAACATTCCAACCATGACTAAAAAACAGACATAATTTCTGCCAAGATGATCATGTCTTGTGATTAGGCAGCTTTTGCATACTTTCACATAATCATTTCATGTTATATTTAACTCATTATCATCATTTGAATCTCGTCACACGCAGAATGTTAAAACTACGACTCTTAACTGAGGCATGCTTTGTGATTACTAGAAAATACACAACCATTCAAAAGACATGGTTTTGAAAGTTCAGTAAGATTTTATATGCATTTATTCAGGATGCATTAAATTGATCAAAAGTGATAGTAAAGAAATGTACATTGTAACAAAAGATTTCTATTTCAAATGTTGTTCTTTTAAAATTCCTATTCAGCTCGAATCCTGAAAAAAATGTATCAAGGTTTCCACATAAATATTATGCAGAAAACTGAAAGTAGTTATTTTAAAATGTAATAACATTTTATAATATTACAAATTTTATTGTATTTTTAATTGAATAAATGCAGTCTTGGTGAGCATAATCATTAAAAAAATCATACTGACCCCAAACTTTTGAATGTTGTATAATAGCAGCAAAAACTATTTCTTGAACTCCCCTCATTTATATCTAAACCGTCCCTTGTAGGGTCAACGCTATTATAAAAAAGTATGTAATTTTTCATTTTGTTTCATGTAATGTGAAAATGTTATCTCTGGCATGAAAATCTGCACTATTTTTATTAGTAAATATTCTGATGTGAACAGTATGAAAATATTTGAAAACAACTTGGCAATTGGTTACTTAATAATACATTTTACACAATTGTTTTATATGTTAAAGCTGCTAACCACAGTGAGAAAGAAATATAGGGGGAAAAAACATTAAACATCACATCAATTGAACAACAACTCTAAAATATTAGCATCATTTCATAAAGCAAAGCTACCAACAAATATGAATACTTCAAACCAGAGTTCAACTTTTAATAAGGTTTTTAATTTGGCTAATAATGCTGCCATCAAGGTTTGCTAGAAAAGATAGTAAAACTGCCAACAAAAAAGATACAATGATACTAAACTATAAATATAACAGTATCTAGTGTAGTTTAAAGCTATTACCCAAATATAATACCCACCCAAATTTGGGAAATGCTTGTTTATTACGGCCAAAAATAAACCTCTACAACCTCCAGGACTATCCAGAAAAGATTCAGTGCTACTAATGCAACAGTCACATGCAGACATCCATTAGGACCTGAGTCATGTGGAAATTGTTGCGTGGGGTGAGTGAGAGGAATTCTCTATTCATATAAACCTCAAAATACACTCCATAGAGAGATGCTCTTACAGTCATTTTCACAGAGTCTAACCTGTGCTATCTAAACATGTGGAGCGAGCTGGCATCACCTACATGACTGGTGAGTTTTCAGAAACCCCATAGCACTAAATCCTTCATGCTAAAGAAAAAAGAAAACTAACTGACTAACTGACAGAGTGATCACGGTTACTTCAGATGGGATGTGGCTACAGACCTCTACTGTATGTGCTATATGCAGTGCTGGTTGAGTATTTGTGCCTGAAGGCCAGTTAAAGATTACTGATATGAGTCACACTGATCACAGCATCCCACTCTCTCTTCCTCCCTCCCTCTCATTCTCTTTCGATCCCTACGCTGTTCCTCAGTTCAGGAGGGCCTGGGGGTCTCCATGGTAACAGTATTCATGTGAGTTCAGTCAGCGGAGTACAGAAGAGCACAGAGAGAGAGAGGGACGAGAGAGTTGTAAATGTGAAGAGAACTGAAACGGATCAAAGAGAGTGAGAGTAGGAACAGGTGATGAGCACACAGGTCATCAAAAAACACAGAGGTGCCTAAATACATCAGAGGGCATTTCAAATTCAAGATGCTGCTCTCGAAGGTCACAGCTGTCATTTACCGACGTCAGCTAAAAAACAAAAACAACAAGCACTGTTTTCACCTACATATGGAAGCCTGTTGCCACCTCAGTAAAAATAAAAAGGTAATTGTGAGAGTTTAAAATTAAAAGTTTAAAAAATGAAAGATGTCACACTGTGAGATATAAAGTCACAATTGGGAGATAAGAGTCACATTGAGAACTAAGAGGAATTCTGAAGTTGCAATTATGAGGAATAAAGTCAATTACATATATACAGCCACTACAAAAAACAACAACAACAACAACAACAACAACAACAAAAAACGCAAGTTTGGGGTCAGTATTGGATTTTTTTTTAAATACTTTTACTCAGAGGAAACATTAATCAAAAGTGACAGTAAAGAAATGTATAATGTTACAAAAGATTTATGTTCATCAAAGAATCCTAAAAAATGTATCCACAAAAATATTAAGCAACACAACTTGATTTCAACATTGATAATAATAAGAAATGAGAACCAAATCAAGATATTAGAAAGACTTCTGAAGGATCATGTGACACTGAAGACTGGAGTAATGGCTGCTGAAAAATCAGTTTTGCCATCACACCAATAAATTACATTTTAAAGTATATTAAAATATAAATTGTAATATTTCACAATATTACTGTTTTAACTTTATATTTGATAAAATAAATGCACTCTTGGCGAGCATAAGACTTCTTTAAAAAATAATAATAATAATAATTATTATTATTACAGACTCCAAACTTCTAAATGGTAGTGCATGTTTTTAATTTTTTTAATATCACTACACTACACTATGAAACTGCATTTTATCTAAGAGGTTTTCAGCCTTTACAGAACAAGTGTCCTCAACACGGCTCAATCCAAGGACATACAATATATATATATAAAAAAGATTTTCTTAGTAAAACATTTTAATTAAAAAACATTTTTTGCATGCTGATTAAAAACGGGAGTGCAGTTTGGAGCCAGAGACATACAGCCACTCTTGTATATAACCAACTACCTTCACCTGGGATGTAAAGATTAAGAAATACGTGTGATTATATATTATAAGAAAATTATGACAGAATTTTCATTTCCTTTGGACAAAACACAGGCCCGGAGCTGCAGGCTGATTCACTGCCACCTGAAACAGCTGCTGTTGCTCTGACATTGGGAGGTACAGTCACATCCGAGCTCTGATGTGTGACTGAGACAGCTGATGGTGACGCCAGGGCCCTAGAGGCTGGCGTCACAAGGGTGTTTGTGCTGACTTACCCTCCCTGAAGGACATTTAGTAGGATGGTGACACCAACCTCTAGTGTGGGATCTGGAAAAGCTGGTACTCTACTCTCAGTGAGGCGCTGACACAGATAGCGCTATCCCTAAATGACGATTAGCACTGCTAATTGCGCTTCACACTCTGGGAAACGAATGCAGGAAGTCCCAAAACACAGTGAGACTGAACATCAGTGTAATGAGCAGCCAGAGAGGCTCCCGTTCATTAGCGATGGTTAAAAGCTTTCGGCTCCTCCACAGCAGCTGTGAGTCAGAGCTGCATATGAAACAGCTCCACATGGTGTGCTGATTTACCGAAGATGGGCAGTAATTTGAAATTTATTAGTAGTAGCAGGAAATTTTCAGAAAAGGTTTCAGTCAATTTTATCATCAGCACTTAAATGTACTACAATGAAATGGCCAGAAGCAAAAACTCTCTGTTTACTGGAAGCTTCTGTCACCAGAACAAATTCCTTGTATGTGCAAACATACCTGGCAATAAAGCTCTTTCTGATTCTGATTCTTTCTGACTGTAAAAGGATGCTGCGATCATTTCTCTGCTATATTTAGAAACTTGTAGGTTGTAAGAACATTTCAGGAGCAACCCAGATCTTTTTCAGTCGTTTATGTTCTAAAGTCTGACTCACCTTGCACACAAAACTTGAGCTCCTTGGCATCGGTGACAGTGCTGCCAGGCATTCTCTCTGGCACTTTCTTACTCATGCGATTGTAATTCAGTCTTTTCTTGGACTCGCCCCACAGGTTGGAGCCCCCGTGCATGCTGGGAATATTGAGTACAGCGATACCCTCCAGAGACGTGCTGCTGAGATCCAAAATGATGCCATCACACTGGGACAGAAACAGAAAATCAAAAAATGTGGAACATTTCTTATACAGTATATACATTTATATTTATACACACACTTTTTTTTCTTTTATGTTCACCATATTTTATTCTATTTTAACATTATAAATGTCTTTGTTGTCACTTTTGACCAATTTAATGCATCCTTGCTGAATAAAAGTATTAATATCTTTAAAAAAAATTAACTGACCCCAAAATATTGAACGGTAATGTATACTGTATAAAATAGAATGATAAAGCACTTAAAGCATTATAAACTGCATTCATGTGCTTAACTATTAGGAGTGGCGCATCAATAGCAATCGCATTCCAGACACGAGAGATGTGAAACTAGTCTAAAAATGCCTGCGGGCGATCCAAAAATAGAAATGCTGAACAGTATTGTATGATGTCAGAGACCACCCTGAATCAAACCAAGGGCGTCAGTAGTACAGTGGAAAAGTACACAAACTTCAAAAGACAAATGCTGACATGTTTATGATATAATGAGATGCCTTGATCCGAGTGAGATCCCACACAAGAGTGGGAGAAAGAAACTTCTTTTCCTAAAGCAAATTTCTCAGCTGATGTTGTTTTCATAGCTCTTCTAACTTCATAACTGTTGTGAAACATCAGCTTCTTCGGTCTGGATCAAAGTTAGTTTACTAAGCGGCCATTCTGTTAATGCGACCAATTTATTTATGAACCTTTTTTTATGCAAGTAGTAGGTATTAAAGTACAGCTTTTATCTACCTGAGTGCGGAAAAATTAAATATTGTTGATGCTTTAATAATAACCATAAAATCAGTACTAATAAAATAAATGCTCATAAATTTTGGCTCAAATCAAGCTAAAAAATTGTTCAAAAAGACGACTGCTTCTTTTAACTGAAAGGCGTTTTCACGCGTGGTTTGTCTTTGCCCCCTTATAATGTCTCTGCCTAGATTAAATATCAAGCACTTTAGTAAACAGTATTGTAGCAGTTAAAACAGAAATCCTCCTCATTATCATTGAAACTCATTGCATTCATTATGTACATCTAACCACAGGCACAAACTGGCCAGTGTGAAACTTTGACATGCTGGGAACGCTGTCAACAGAGTTTGCTTTCAAACAGACGTTCTGACATGTTCCCTCAACACTGACTGCGTAAGAGCAGCCTGAGGTTTACTGTAGATACTGTAGCCAGCTGCATTAATGAATCACAGTTTGTTGAAGGAAGTATTCAGTGGACATACTGACCATATACACAGTTAAAAGAGCGTGAATGTGGCTGTATATAATTACAACATTTGCTGTCAAGTATAACGTGGCTCTGTCCTGAACTCACCTCCACCTCAATAGATTCGTTCAGCTTTTTACACGTGGCTGAGATGGTCTCTGTGGTGCCAAATTCAAAGTACCACAACTTGTTTTTCATCCTGAGGAGAGAGAACAAAAGTGATTAGTAGTTAAACTAAGAATTTTATACGATACATTTTTGGTTGTGATGTTATGAAGAAAGCTCATGAAAAACAATGAGGTTATGCATAAATAAGTAAACTTGATCTTTCGCGGTTCCGATAAATCAATAATCGATGTGATGTATTAACCTGTATTAACTTATAAACCAGTTGTACAGTTTTTGCTTATTTTAAGACAAACATGAAATGCTAACATGGCAAAACATTGGTGAGGTTCCTGTCATAAATAACACCTATGCGTCTGAATGTTTTAAGATGACCTCAGAGGAGCAACTGACAAATAAGAAATAATGTTCAACAGGATTTAAAATGCAACATCTCAAGCTCAGCCATAATGAGAGAAAAAAGAAAGAAAGATGACTCTGTGTGCAGCTGCTCTATCATTGGAACAACAAACAGGTTTGCGTTTACACACCCCAATGTTAATGCTGGCGTGAAAATAAATATTATGGGATGAACAGAGCCTTGGGCTGTCAACGGATTAAACAGACAACTGCTCTCAGATCTAACTTTGAACAAAAATCTCCCAAAAGTACCTCATTTGCAACAACACATAACATGGACTTCCCAAAATTTTAATTTTTTTTTAGTTTAGTAGCTGAATCCTGATTTACGGCATCAAATTTACAATTTAGTTCGCCAAGGAAAGCATACAGAACTCTTTGATGGTAAATCTACAATCAATTTACACTACACCAATCAAAAGTTTGGGGTCAGTAAGATTTTTTTTTTTTAATAAATTTAAAATTATTCAGCAAGGACATATTAAAGTGATCAAAAGTGTCTTTCCGACCGAAAACTCTTGACCAGTAGTGCATTGTTCCTTAAACAGGTCTGACTCAGTCACATTAACTTGAATGAAACAAAATGGTGTGCTTTAACATGAGCCAGTCTGTCTTTTCTTACCCATTACAATCTTTGCTTACTCTTGAGGAAATGGCTGGTTATAGTTAGGGCCAGGAAGGAAGCCTTTGGGCCAGTTCATTTTGTCACCCTCTGGCCTTCCCCTGGCCTTCTGAAAAATTGATACGCTACAAGGAAAGCCGAGGCAGACAGGTGTGATAGGACATGAGTGACAGTGAACTTGGCCACAGCTTCCATGGAGAAACCAGAGCCACCATCGACAACCTGAGCGCAATCTAACATTAACACGGCCTGGGACACTGAGAGGAGCCAGCGGAGGACAGACGCTGCCAATATATCACACAAGGGTAGGACTAATCTATAATGAAGACCTTCTGCTTCAGCTCAGAGCTTAAAAAGAAAAAAACTAAACAGATGACTTTATAACACCAGGACCCTATCAATTGGGTCCCTCTCTCTACTCTAAATGTGTTGCATTTTCACTTTGGTTATGAAACAGGGCAATTTACACTCATCAAATGGTGACAACCAGTGACAAGGCCCTGCAAAGGGGTGTTCTGCTGATAATGACAACACTATTGTTTGGTTAATAGACAACACGCAATGGGGGCTTTTCCAGGCCCACAAGGGATGGACTCAGAGCAACCATCAGTATCAACCATATCAAATATGTAATCCGCTGAGGGACAGGATACAAGTGAAGGCTGACATAAACTAATTTACGATTTTTTTTATATTTGACACATAAAATGAGTTAAATGCACTGTAAAAAATTTTTTTGAAGTTGTAAATAAAGATTTTGGAGTAGATTTTACAAGAAAATACATTTCAGTTTTTCTACTTCAAAATTGTACGTTTAATTTGATGTGTTACTTGCTGTTTCCTTGTAATCGTTTGTGGTAAAAAAACATTTACCAGCCGTTTCAGAGTGGAAACTGTTTCTAGACCATCTTTTAATCAGTGTGCTCTGACACTTCATTTAAGTCAAACTATTCAAATGCAATATGAAAAAAAAAAATCATTGTCAAAAGTCATCAGAAGCCTGGTATAAAGCATGTTATAGAAGTTTTTTTCCCCAGGTTTTAAATACTAAAAAACAGTGTTGGGGAAGCAATGTTGATATTCCTCCTTCAGTCAGAACAATATTTAATACCACAAAACACTGAGAGTTAAAACTATTAGCATTAAATAGCATTTGAACATAATTATTTAAAGCAAATATTATTTATAAGTAATATATGTATTACATTTCATATGTACTTATTATGTATGTATTAAAATTTAATAAATATGTCATATTTAATATCAATTATTCAATATTTAATATATAAAATTAATTTAATATATACATTTATTATACATCACATACCATATAATTAGATCACGGGGTTGGATGCAAAGGAAATTCATAAATTGCCAAAATGCATACTGTATCTCAAATGCATTAATGTAAATAATTCATATTTTAGACAGATAGACATTTTAGAGTAGTGTGTGTCAAACATTACCTTCATTTTCTCAGCTGTAATACAATTCATTAACACCATACAATGTGACAAACATAGCAATGCAGAGTTTTGTTGTGATATACCACTACTTGTTTGAAAAATTCACTTGCTACTTGAAAAGCAACCCTGTTTTGAAAACAAATGAACCACTGTCACAAGTCCATAGCATTGCTACCGTTCCTTTCAAACTTCATTCTGTCGTCCTCTCCCTCAGTTTATACTCCAGCAACTTGCTACCTTCATTCTGTCAAATTAAGGGATTATGAGCAGATTTGAGATCACAATTAGACCCACATTGCGATCTCAACGGGGTCAAGCTGCCTAACCTCATTAGCTAACTTCCATCTGAGTAAGCTCTGGGAAAAAAAAAACACAATTAGCCACAGGTTTCTCTTTCCATTCCACCCCCAGTTGAAGACACTTCATTTAAGTCAAACTATTCAAATGCAATATGAAAAAAAAAAATCATTGTCAAAAGTCATCAGAAGCCTGGTATAAAGCATGTTATAGAAGTTTTTTTCCCCAGGTTTTAAATACTAAAAAACAGTGTTGGGGAAGCAATGTTGATATTCCTCCTTCAGTCAGAACAATATTTAATACCACAAAACACTGAGAGTTAAAACTATTAGCATTAAATAGCATTTGAACATAATTATTTAAAGCAAATATTATTTATAAGTAATATATGTATTACATTTCATATGTACTTATTATGTATGTATTAAAATTTAATAAATATGTCATATTTAATATCAATTATTCAATATTTAATATATAAAATTAATTTAATATATACATTTATTATACATCACATACCATATAATTAGATCACGGGGTTGGATGCAAAGGAAATTCATAAATTGCCAAAATGCATACTGTATCTCAAATGCATTAATGTAAATAATTCATATTTTAGACAGATAGACATTTTAGAGTAGTGTGTGTCAAACATTACCTTCATTTTCTCAGCTGTAATACAATTCATTAACACCATACAATGTGACAAACATAGCAATGCAGAGTTTTGTTGTGATATACCACTACTTGTTTGAAAAATTCACTTGCTACTTGAAAAGCAACCCTGTTTTGAAAACAAATGAACCACTGTCACAAGTCCATAGCATTGCTACCGTTCCTTTCAAACTTCATTCTGTCGTCCTCTCCCTCAGTTTATACTCCAGCAACTTGCTACCTTCATTCTGTCAAATTAAGGGATTATGAGCAGATTTGAGATCACAATTAGACCCACATTGCGATCTCAACGGGGTCAAGCTGCCTAACCTCATTAGCTAACTTCCATCTGAGTAAGCTCTGGGAAAAAAAAAAACACAATTAGCCACAGGTTTCTCTTTCCATTCCACCCCCAGTTGAAGTTTGAAGTGGAGGAAAAAAAAAAGTTCTGTTAGCAGCCTGTTAGAAAGTTGTCTTCTGAGCTTTGCAATAGCATGGAGGAAGAAGCAGCAAAGACTAAAAGCTTCCTGGTAAGAGCATCTTAAGGTTAGTGTTTTCTGTGCACAGCTAGGTCATCGGACAAAAGTGAGCATTCAAATAGCATCAAGATTTAAACTATTAAGCTAAAATCCTCTTGACTAGAGTTGTGCTTGAAATCTGGATCAGCACATAAAGATGTAGATGTTAAGGGTCAGTGAACCTTTAAATTTAACCAACACATTCCTGAAAAACAATCACAAACACACACCCTGCTGGTCATCGGCCCAGATAACCATCTCCTGTAATCCCTTCAGAGACTGCTGACTTTTTGACCCGTGAGCTCTCTGCCCCTGTATCACTGCACCAATCAGTCACTACGCAGCTCAGTCCTTATCCTGCTGATCGGGACTCTGATACAGCCTTTGACTGACAGCTCAAATGGGAGTGATTTTAAGGACGGGGGTGCTGTAGAGGGAGGAGGGCATTTGGGGGTTAAAGATAAGATGCGATGACCCTCTTGTGATGGGAACAAGAGAAGAAAGACTGCAGTGTGAATATCCCCACTGGTAATACTGTCAGATGGATCAGTGTGACTCCTTTCCATCAGAACACTCTGAACTCAGAACAGACTTTTGCTGTTGCGTCTTTCAATCTTTCTTTGTTGAGTTGTCTCCGGAAAGCACTTTGTAAACACTAGCAACAACATTAATATTAATGGTATGATTAATTAAATAATAATTTATATGGTGATCATTTAATAATTCAGTATATCAGGGTGTTAATAATACAACTACTATAATAACATTTAAATAATTTTATTTTTATTTTAACAAATTCTATTTCTTGATCCGACTATTCATTTCTGAAAAGCCCTTTGTAAGAAATGTTGTAAAATGTTTTACTACTAATAATAATAACAATAATTTTATATTAATTTGACACCATCCAATAAAGATACTACAGTGCATTTTTTATTTTTATTTCAGGCATGTTCTTTTTCATTAGTCCATTTGTTGATCACTTCTGATAAAATAAAATGGATAATAATTATCATTATTATTATTATTACTACTACAAATAATAATAATTATTATTGCAGCCATATTCTTTCTTAGTCAATTTCTTAGACAATTTGTTGATCTGACTAATCACTTC